TCTTTTACCCCTTGTATATACATCAAGTCCTTGAATACATTATTGCTGGGATTGGTTTATCCTCAGTTATTATAAAAGTCAAAGTGACTGTCGTTCTGGAAAACTTCTTTGGCAATGAGGACAGGCAGAGATGCAGGAATGGACAGTGGCTAGGTTCCCTGCAGATGTAAGTCACCACAGCCTCATTGACTTAAGTCTATACATCATAACAATTTAATTTTCTCAGCTACTGCATATAATCAGATGTGGTGAGATGGCAGGATCTCCCCCTTTCCTACTGGGCTAGTACATTCAAATTAACATAAAGCTTGAGCATTCTTACTGTTGATGAGTTCAATTTTCTTATATTAAACCAAATTAAATAGCAACAAAATGTGTTTTGTGTTAAAACGACAACACTGTTAGTAAATCACAGTTCTCTTACAAAGCAGTGGGCCTCCTGTGCTGGACCTTCAGTGCACCAGGTCTTTGGTCGCTCCATTGTAGCTCTGTTGATCTCGGTGCTGCCGAACCATTTTCTGCTAGTACTGAATCTGGTCCAGACGCATTACAGCATCACAACAGATCTTACAGGAATAGTGACAGTTCAGCACAACAGATCCACACATAGCAAAGTCACTGAACAGGTTCAAGTTGTTCCTTGGACTGAATTTTTTAGCTTCTTGGCTGTTCTAATATTCATCTCCTCAGGAGATGAATACTTCAGAGCAGAATACCCCATCTTTTGATTACCACATGTCTTTTAGGAAATGGTATATTTCAGACTGCTAATTGAAGAGTCTTTGAAATCTTGGGCATTTAAGGGGGTTGCAGTCTTAAATGATAGTTGCATGGATAATGGTTTAACAACTGTTTTTAGTTGAAAAAATCTTTAGATGAAAAACCTTTTTATTTACCAAAACTAGCTTGTGAAACTCATCACAAGTTACCACAGAGGCTAAGAGGTCAGCAGATTTCAGGGGAGGGTGTTTTTCAGGTATTTGGATTTGGAATCACCACAAGCTTGGGTTTCATGGAGAATGCAGACAGTTGTGTTTCAGGACTGAACCCAACTTTCAGCTCTTGGTATGCTTAGAAAACTGTGTGTGAATTATCCCAGTGCTGTTTATCACAGTTTTCCCTTCAAAGCATACAGCATCAGGGCACTATTGGAGACTGCTCGGCATTTGTATGACCTTTCATCACCTCCAGCTTCACTGTAGTGCAGGATTCATTATGTTTGATATGTTTTGAAAAGAAATACTGTATTTATGTTGTGTAACTGACTCACACTTTGAATGTATTGGGTGATTTTAGGTATTTTGTTATCAGATTATGCATAGTTCTACAAATGCAATTCTACAAGTGGTAATGCATGTCAAAACAGTTGAAATAATGAACAGTATGAAAGAAGAGGAGATGAGACAAGAGTAGAGGAACAGAACAAGGGGCCAAAGAACAACTTCAAAATAAGGACTTGGGATTTTTTTTTAAATTACTATTATTATCATTTAGCTTTTGTATTCAGGGGTTAACAAACCACTGTAACTTGTTCATTACCTCTTTCCAACATTCCCTCAGACCTCCTAGATCTGCAAATACCTGAAAAATACGAATTTAGGCAGCTAAAATACCACCTTTTCATTTCTCTGTTGGATCCTTCGGGCATACCCTGTGGCTAAACCTTTTTTCTGAAGGTCAAGAGAGTTTTATTCATCTGACATAAGTAGCTTGAGTGTGGCATTTATAACTTGAGTAATGTTATGGATGAAAACACCATTAGACATTTTTACAGCTTCAGCAGGAGTTCAGCCAGCGGGACTATCAGCCTGATAAATGCTTTCATCTTGAAGCTTGTATTGCTACAATAACCCCAAAACTTAAAGCTGCTCCTTGAAACCTGTGGCCGGGCTAAAGAGATGAAGAGTGCCCTCTGACATTTCTAGGTTGCTAAAGAGCTCTCTCAGGTTCCAGTGCAAGAATTAAGATGCCCACATGCAGCTGTTCTGAACTGAATTGGAAATTACTGTAGAACTTTGTAATTTTAAATGAATTGGGGGCAGTGCTACTTGAAAGAATTAGCTTCAGATTGAGATGAGACTGAACTCTGGGTGATGAGTCCCAACATTTTGTTCCTGCCCAATTGTAAACTGTTTCTACAGGATTTTAGGAGGCAGAACTCTTATACAGCTATTTTCAGAAACAATAGAGAGTTTCACCTCCTCTGTCTGGGTATTTTGCAGTTATAAAACTCCTAGGAGACTGGTAAAAAACTAATCTATAGAGTAGGCTGCAAGTGGTGTGAGAAGCTAGCAATGACAACCAGTAGGATTTTGGCTTTGTAGAAGACTTTTGTTCTGTAGAGATCTGAAAGAGAGTGGTTATGTTCTGAAAGTAGACCGTTGTCGTGGTTTAACCCCAGCCAGCAACTAAGCACCACGCAGCCGCTCACTCACTCCCCACCCACCCAGTGGGATGGGGGAGAGAATTGGGACAAGAAGTAAAACTCGTGGGTTGAGATAAAAATGGTTTAATAGAAGAGAAAAGAAGAAACTAATAATGATAATGATAACACTAATAAAAAGACAACAGCAATAATAAAAGGATTGGAATGTACAAATAATGCACAGGGCAATTGCTCACCACCCGCCGATCGACACCCAGCCAGTCCCCGAGCAGCGATTCCCCACCCCCACTCCCCCCAGTTCCTATACTAGATGTGATGTCCCATGGTATGGAATACCCCTTTGGCCAGTTTGGGTCAGGTGCCCTGGTTGTGTCCTGTGCCAACTTCTTGTGCCCCTCCAGCCTTCTCGCTGGCTGGGCATGAGAAGCTGAAAAATCCTTGACTTTAGTCTAAACACTACTGAGCAACAACTGAAAACATCAGTGTGTTATCAACACTGTTCTCATACCTAGCTCAAAAACATAGCACTGTACCAGCTACTAGGAAGACAATTAACTCTATCCCAGCTAAAACCAGGACAACCGTGAAACTGGCTGTGCACTGATTATGCATGTAAAAAACAGTTGAAATAATGAACAGTGAGAAAGGAGATGGGATGATACAAGTGGAAGAAGAATAGAATAAAGGACCACAAAGGAAGGGAGTGTGAGATGAACAAAGGTCAAGTTCTTGCTTTTATGTCTAAAAATAGCAATCTGAGGCTTGTAGCAAACTTTAGCCACTGTTTTAACCTAGCAGCTATTTAACACAAAAATATTTGTAACTTGTAATGATGACAGTTAATGCAGCCAGATAGTTTTTTCATTGCTTCTGATAATGTGAAACAACTCCATTGATTTTCTTAAGATTTTAATGACTTCACTGGAGTTCCTCTGCTAAACTGCTATTCTGGTTTACAACCTTCTGTGTTTCCTGAGCATCACCTTGATCATAGAAAAAATTCTAGTACTTCTTATTTATGACTGAGACCTTTGAAGCCATGCTTCCTTTCTGAAACTTTTAAAAGTGCATCCATGACAATTACTTCCTAGGTGAGTACTATTGTGTAAGTCTGATACAATACACAGTTCGAATGCTGCAAGTCTGGCATGACATCTCAGAAGGAAGATAGAAAGGAAGACCTCTGACAGCAGAGGTCAACAAGGGTGATTGGAGGCTTTGAACAACAACTGCACAGGTTGATCCCAAGTAGCCTATAATTCTTCAGCTTGGAAAAAAAGGTGGTTAAGGGATTAGATAATAGCGGTCTATAAAATTGTGACCGATGTTGAGAATGTAAGTAAGGAACAATTATTCTATATTTCTTTTAGTGTTAAGCGGTAAAGGTTACCAAGTGGAATTATCAGTTATCAAAGAAGAGGGAGTATTTTTTGCTGGAAGCTACGTGAGTGTGCAGGGGAGGTGCCTGCTCAGTGCATCCTGTTCTTTTACTCTTCCCCAAATACTTGACCACTGTTAGTGGTAAGATACAAGGCTAGATGAATTTTTGATCTGAGCATATAATTGTTAGAATCTTAAATTTACAAGCACTGGAAATAGGTGGTAGACTGAAAGGCGAGTATAAGATTTGACCTTCCTTTTAGCTTCATTTTTAATGCTGGCTAGTTTTCAAGTTGATGAGTGCCTTTAAACTTGCTTTAAAACATATTTGCCTCATATGGAATTATGTGATAGCAGCAGCAGCCTTGGCTAATGCATTTATTGTTTTGTGGATTTATTAATCCCTATTTCCTGATGTTTTTCTAAAATTCATCAAATATATAAAAGCCTCAAGACGGAAAATGCTTATAAAAAAGAAATTGTAGGTTCCAGTCAGTCTGACTTCAGTCAGTGCACATCAGCTATGGAGTTGTATAGGGGCAAGAAAAAAACTTGCGTTATCCACTTTGTATTTGAAATGGTGGGTAGAAGCTCTTCTTCATCTCTTCCTGAATGTGTAACATATTGCCTTCCTCTTGGGCTATAATAATCTACTTCCAGTTGACTGATCATATTGCTTTTTGCCTCTGTTTTTGGAAGACATTCTCCCACTTCTTTCAGCTCATCAACTGAATAACCTGTCCTCCTCTGTTCAGCTTTCTAGTTCTTACAAGCTGTTTGAAATCTCTGCTAAGACCTCACTTTTGCCAGCTGTGCCTTTTGATGTTGTTATGACTGATGCATACCTCGGTTTCTGCCACCAATTTTAGAAGTTTCTGTATAACCCAAGAATACTGCAGAATCTGTGGTAGCCCTTCTGCCAGCTCGCTTTAGTTGCAGTAATGGCCAAGTTCAAATAAAGTGTAATGGTTCATATTAAAGTGAACAAAACGCACCCCACCGTGAAACATTACTTGCTCACAGATTTTAGGCACTTACCTCTAGATCCTGCTGCTTTAACTTCATTCTTCATATACATCTTTGGTTGCGGTGCCCTATTGTGGCACCATTTCACATCCCTGGCTGCTTTGCTTTCAATTAATTTCCAGTGTAGCTAGTTAATTACAAGATGTGTTTGAAGGAGGGTCCAGTGGCTGACGTTTGGTGGGCCTGAGGGCTGTTGTGTTATTTCCAGGTACTGTTTGGCACTGCTGATGGACAGGTTATCGTCATGGACTGCCATGGCCGAATGCTGGCCCACGTGCTCCTTCATGAGTCAGATGGCATCCTCAGCATGTCCTGGAACTACCCCAGCTTCCTGGTGGAGGACAGCAGCGAGAGCGACACGGACTCCGACGACTATTCCCCGCCACAAGGTAGTGTTGTGCGCACGTCCTTCTGTTTCAGCTTTGCAAGTGTTCACAAAGACATTTCGAACACCAGGGAGTTGTCATGCTCTACTACAACAGCAGGATGGCCGCAGTTTCAAGCTGGTAGAGGCCGAGAGATGGTGCGTTCCTGTGGAGGTAGCATGGGGGTTGGAGCAGAGAGCTGGTACGGGGGAGTGGGTTTGTCCCCAGCTCTGCCACCAGCCTCACTGTGTGGCTTGCTGCGGGTCGTACCTCATCTGTGCTGCTCTGCCTCCGTTTGCACAAATGAGATACCAGCACAAAGCTCAAAGTTTTTAGTGAGGGTGAGTGAAAAACACTAGAAAGGGGCGTATCAGGTTTCACTGATAAGCAGATGTGAGGTGTTGCAACGGTCCGTATGTACGGAGGTAGTCGGAGTGCACAGAAGTTAATGCATTATTATATAGATTCGTGTGAAAAGACACCAGTACTAGAGGTAGTGGAAAGTGCTACATCTTTAATTTTATCTCTGTTTCATAGGATTTCTGTAATGCTCATCATTATAGTCCCATCCTTGATAGTCCTGATATAAAGAGCCCAATAAATTCCGTAGAAGGATTGGAAATGAAAATATTTCTTGCAGTTACACAGAGTAGAAGAAGAGTGACTGGAGCTGTCTGGAGTTACTAATTCCCATGCTTCAGAGCACTTTGCCAGTTTGAGGGTTAGGAAGCAATCCTTCCCTCCCATTAAGTATAAATATAACTCATTGGGTGAAATGTTTTGGTTTTAAACTCTTTGGAAATCATCAGTAGCAAAGACCTAGAAGGCCTAGGTATCCATGCACAGTCAGCCCCATCCTTCTTATTCAAGTAATGCTAATATATGTTGTTAATGCTGTTGATTAGTCTATAAGATCTAGGTAAGCTGTTTCTGTTTTCCAGTGCATGAAATCTGAACTAAAGAACTAAATTAACAGTGATTGTACAATGAAAAATTTAAATACATATTAGCTAGAAATAATTCTGAATTTGCATCTCAGATCTGAACCACTGAATTGAGGACTCTCACAGTTTTAACTCTAATTGGGGTTCCGTCAAAAAAATGTACCTTTTCCAGAATCGTGTGTATACATGTCAATATAATAAGCATATGTATTTAACAAATAATGATAGAAGATAATGTGACCATCTGGTAAAATGTTAGCATCTTTTGAAACTGAGTTTTGTTTTGGCTTTCATGCCTCACTTTTGGTACTGGGTGAGATTTCTTACCTTAGTAGGAAAGAAACAAACTTCAAATCTCCTAGCAAGCTTCTAAAGCAAGACAGAGAACAGCATTAAATTGTTTTTTCATTGTGTTTTTAAAATACTGAGGTTCCAGCTGGAGGATGGTAATGTTGCAGAGTACACACATGAGAACTTAAATGATCCGAATGAGCTAGCTTTTTCTGAGTCAGTCAGGGCAGGGGGGTGGACTTGTAACAAGCCTGCAAGCCTATTTTGATGATTACCCAAACATGATGTGTTTTCTTTAGAGCAGATGCAGCATAAACCTCTCAAAGGTGACAATCCTTTGACTCACACAGACGTGTAGGAAGGACTGGAAGTTTGATGGGTTTTTCTTATTTAATTAAATACACACAGAGATGCTAATTACTAGACATCTCTCTCCAAAATGCTTTCTGATCAGCTTTTTTACAAGTTGAGGAAGCAATACCACTCTTAACTCACTCTGCCATTTTGGTTGACTTAAAAGTTGCTGGCTGGACCTTGAGAGGCACTTTAGCAGGGGCCAGCAGCATCTCCTGTCAGAAACTGTAAGCAAAAAGAGTTAAACAGTGAACGGTACAGATGGTGATATTGGTCATGAAGTATTTGAACAAGGGAATTTCAGTGAATGCTGAAAAACAAGCCCAGAGGAGCAGAGACTTTGCAGAAATGGTTTTTAAAGCCAAGTGTTCCATTTGGGCTCCTCTCTACCTTTGAGTGCATTGGATCCTGTTATGCAGGATGGCAAGTAACTTTTCATGCTGCTGCCTAGCTCTTAACTTTTAGAATACAGTAATTTGTGAAAGGTCAATGTGTTCTCTTAGAAGTTCTTAGAATGTCTTTATGTGATTTCAGGAGGAGTCCCCAACACTTGCCCAAGCAGAAAGTGTATCTAACAAATAGCTTTTAATGTGATTATGTTGTTTATTACACTCGTTTTCAACTTGGGTCCCAAGGAAGCCTTCCAAAGCACTGGTTTTCAATTTGTAGACACTTCAGGGAGTTGACAGTGGAGAAGGATTGAAAACCACCACTGTATAACATAATAGCATATGCATAAATCACATTGGATATACTGCAGTAAAAATTCACAAAGTAAAAACGTTGGGGTTTCACAAAAGGAGACAAATGAACTAGCTAAACCTGCTTTGCTTTTGCCCATAAACATTGCAGAAATAAGCAGGTAGAGTTTGAGGCTTGGAACCACTCCTGATGGTGGTAGGCTGAAGTACAGTGTATTTCAGCCTGGATGTCATTACTTCTGGTTGTTTGCCTTTTGCTCACTCCAAAGCCTTGTTTTTGCAGATGGACCAGCTGCATATCCAGTCCCGGTGCAGAACACCAAACCACTACTTACTGTCAGCTTCACATCGGGAGACATCAGTTTAATGAACAATTATGACGACTTGTCTCCGACTATCATCCGCTCAGGGTTGAAAGGTACAAAAGGAAACCATTTCACCCCCTCCCTATGCTCTGTTTTTCTTGTCTTTTTAATGATGTGTGTATAGGTTATGGTTTTGCGACTGTCTCTCCTAACCCAGCAAGCACTTGGCCACTGTTATTGCCATTTCCAGCAGTGACACCTGCTGGTGGAAGAGCAGCAGTTGGCTGATAGAGTTTTTGTGTTTTGAAAAAATGTTTCCATTTTTGAGATCATGTTTTCATGGCAGTTTTGTAGAGCAATTGATCTGTTTTCTGGTTTTCAGCTGAATGTGCTAATACGTTTATGCTTCTTTGTGTGAATGCCTCTGCTATTGAACACTTCCTTTCCATCTTTAATTCACAAGGTCTCCTCCTATGCTTTTGGTAGTCGGGTATGAATCACAATGCTGCTTTGACTCCCACAAATTTTGAAAATGTGCTAGAATTATTAATTATCAAGAGGCAAGTTATTCTGAGAGAAGGAAAATTCCACTGATTAATTACTATACATCTTGCTAAGTGATGTGCATGAATGTTTGTACGATCAGTATTCCATGTAAAATCTTTAATTCACATGGAAATTTTTACTGTTCTTACCTATCAAAAAGTCCTTTACTTTGCCAGTACTCTCAGTACAATTTACAGTGCTTTGCCTGGAGAGAAGTTTTAATTCACTGTGGCAAATAAGCACATGCTTAAATATAGGTTCCATTGATTCTTTTTCATCTCCACAGGCAAGTTACTTTTATATTAGATGAAAAAAAAATAAAGCAAGCTGTTACAGCAGACTCTTAGCTGTTCTGTAACACTGGGATATTTTTTGTGAAAAGTTGTCCTAACACCAGCCTAGTAGTTTTGGGGTGATCCACTATGTAGGGTAGCCTTAGGAGATTAAAAAAATCACCTTTGAGGTTTCTTTTCCTGCTTCCATCTGTGTCAACACAAGAAGCACATGGCTGTCAAAATGTAGCATCCTGGGGTAACCCTATGATCCAGAAAACTTCTTCAGCTGAAAGGACGCCTAAAGTCTGGGAAACTGGAACCAATTTAGAGAAGCTCTTGTGATATCCACCGAGGGGTGTGCCCAGCATCTCCACAGAATTATAGTAGATAGATAGGATAGGAGGTAGTCTTGACTTGTCATCTAGTCTCGCTTTCAGCTGGAAACAGTAGGAGAAACAAACTCCAGCTTATTCTCTGTTTAGAGTTGCATGGCTCTGTCTTGCTGAGGATGTCTGTCCTGTTTCTCTTTCCTCATTAACTTTCACTAACGGAAAAAAGATCCCTTAATTACATCACCCTCCTCTGGCAAAATACTACTGTGCAAGCTATAGTAGAAATATTTTTTATGAATTGTAAACTGGACTACGTCACAGGCATCAGTAGAAGAAGAATGTGCAACATCTTACTGGATTGGGATTATGTATGAGACAGAGAAAGGTGATTGGGACATCACTGTTGTTTTGAAGCTACCCATTGTACAGTGGAAAGTGTTTTAGATATAACTGTCATATAGATGTAAACATTTTCTGTACCTTCTTATCAAATTTTTTTTTCAAGTGACTATAATTTTACTGGTTGTTATCACATGCAAGAATGTGCAAAAGCACCCAGCTCAAGGTCTCCATCCTCTCCAGCCACTTGGTATTCTGCTGAGAGTGGATGGTTTTTAGTATTGTGTGTAAGTCTTAATTAATGTGTTTCTGTTTGAAATCTGTAAGTATTGCTTTGTGGTCTCTGCAGCAGATGCCCTTGTCTTTATGGGCTGCTGGATGAGCAGCATACTGAAAGTATTTTTAAAGCAGGCAACTATAAAACTATTTCAAGCAATACCGATATATTTTTGCTGTTCTACTAGCTTTGCATAGCTGTCATTTTACTGGGAATATTCATATTAAATTGATGCAGAAGAACATTTGCTGTTGAATGAGATACCCAAATACCAGTTCTTTTCATCCAGCTTGAACACTCCTAGAAGTTTTATTAGTTCTAGTGGAGGTCCTGAACTGTTCATTTGTATCCTTCCTTTTCTTTATGCTTTTTATCTCTGTGATTCTCAGTGCACTGCTACCTGCAGAACTGCTGAAGTGCATCTACTTACTGGTGGTACTAGTTAGCTACAACTGCTACCTGTAGAGCTATGGCACATTTAGAGTGCTCTCTCTTCAAAGTTTGCTGATACACATGCCTGTAGTGGCTGGCAAGTAGTTTTCAGGGATGGCTCTGATCCCCTGATTCATTTGCAGACCGTTGCCCTAGATGAAACCTCCTCTGATTTCTAATCTCTGTGCTTGTGCTGAGACCTAGTTATCAGCTGAGCTATTGTACATCAAGGTTCGATAGTCATTGAAGACTCCGTGTGCAGTGCAGCATGCTGTAGAGCCGTGCTGTCCCAGGGGGATGCTGCAGCCCACGTCCAGCCCTTCGCTGCCTTTGCAGCAGCCTAATTCTACGAGTTTTGAGAGAAAGAAGACTCCTGGATGCAGTAATCGCTCCTCTTCCTCTCGGTATGGGGATTGACTGAAGGTTTTATCTGAAGACATGTATCCAAAGGAGATTGTTTTTTCACTTTGGTAATTGTTTAGTTAAACCAGCTACCAAAAGTGGAGTTGATCAGCGTGCCTCATTGATTTCTAACCTGCCTATCGTTATATTCTCTGAGAAAGATGAATTAAATCCCACTGTAGATTACTTAGAGGGCTGAGGACTAGGAGAAAAAAAGAGGCATACATTGCCTAGCTGTGAAAAAATTATCTTGAGGAATATGTGTCTTGCCTCTGATATGTACAGAAGCATAATTCCCATGAGAAATATCAGAAAGTTGAGATAATACAAAACCATTTTAAATTGCACATAAAAGTCTCTGAAAATGACAAGTTGACAACTTGAAACAATTTTGAGATCCTTCCTGCCAACTCTCATTTCTCTCCTGCTTCTTCATTTGAAGATAGTTTCTCGCCCACAAATTTCTTCAAAAGGTTCTTGGCAGATTGAGCATCCCAGAGCACAAAAGTTTTGTCTTTACCTTCACTTTGTCTCAGCACAAAATAGCTGCCTTTCACCTCTGGTTTAAGAGTAAAAAGGTTTAAAGACTAGCTTGGTATTCCTTGCACATACAAATCTGCCTCTGAAACACAAGCAGAAACACAAAATACTGTTTTAGTGCTCTTCTTGAAGTGTGACAAAGAGCTGGAGGATATAAGGGTTTGAAATTAGCATCCCCCAATTAAGCTGTGGGCGTTCCTCATCATGAGGTGCCTGTAGGAGAAGTAACCGATACGTATATTCATATTCATGTACATGAGAGACTAAGTAATCCCTGTGTGCTTCTGGCAAACTCATGCTAGACAAATGAGTAGATTTTCACAAGTCAAGTGTCAAAAGAAAACCTATGACATGCAGGCCATATATATATATGGAGAAAAATCCAAAAGTCTTTTTATTTTGATGTTATACTAAACTATAACTCTAGCTTGAGTTATGCTAAAAGTTATTTCACAGCCAGCAAGAATATGAGCCATTGCCAGATATGCTGCTTTTTTGCACTGTAGGCCTTTCCAGACAAATACTCTTTGCTGCTCTCTTAGTGAGATTATTTATCTGCGTATTAACGTGATTCCACTTACTTACCCCAAGGATGTGCATAGGATCTTCCACATCAGTTTTAACATCTCTGATAAATTCTTGTCCTTAGGTACTTAGGAGCAACCACTGATTACATTATAGGCTCACCATAGAGAGAAAAATGAATGGTTTTAACACATTTTTTGCAATTTACAAAGTAAAAAGAGTCATTCTCGGAAGTGCGTATGCGGCATATTTGCTACTATTTCAATGATAAGTACTTAAGTAACTTATGAGAGCATGATTTAGCTGTTCAAGTCACTTTACAGCATCTGGAAATGCTGTTCCTACTGATTCTAATCAGTGATTATTGCAAACCATCTTTGTGATTTCAGATGTGGTGGTGCAGTGGTGTACACAAGGAGACCTACTTGCAGTAGCAGGCATGGAGAAGCAAAGCCAGCTGGTTGACCTCAGCAATGGTTCCCTGTTGAAAAGCGCACTTGTCAAGTTCTACAATGTGCGCGGGGAACATATCTACACTCTGGAGACACCTGTGCAGGTAGGAGGTATTTTTTAAGGCAGTTCTCAATGCTTTGCTGACATGTTTTTCCCACATTAGCTCATTGGTATAGACCTGCAATGTGAAAACGGTTGTAAAATGTCCTGAACACATTCTAAAATATAATATAGATTAAAATGCACTGTAAATATTGTTTGCATTAAGACAGACATCCAAGAGTGCATCTGATTCTAAGGCCCACTGTGCTAGATATTGTGAAAATATATACTGACAAACAGTCTGTTTCCCAAAATCATTGGGCAAGATAGAAAAAGGAAATTCTGTTGGTTTATGGGTAAGTGACTGCGGAGAAAACACTAGATAACTTGCTTGATGTTATAGCAGAGCCAGGAGCTGGACAACAATATTCCAAGTCCAGTATCATAACTGCAAGATTATTCTCTCTTTGTTATTGCTATAATTTTCTAATATACAATCAGTTGATCTGATGCAATATTTTACTTTTTATGGCATCAGATGGAGAAGGATGAATCAGAAAGTCTTGTTTCTGTTCCCACCTTCTATACAGACTTCCACTGTAACCTCAGTCACATTACTTGACAAGTAAATGTCAACACATGTTCTGTGTGCTGCTTAGGAGCACAACATACTTCATAGGTCTTCGCTGGTATTTCAGAACCCAGCTGAATGTCTCTCTACAGTTTATTTCATTTTCTGCAGAGTAGGGGTGATTCCATTCCGATTTCTGACTGTTATTAGTGAAACTTAATTTATAATAGCTTTGAAATCTGAAAGTGGAGGAAAGTGCTATAGATGTATTTACTTAATTATGTTTAATGATGATACCATTTATTATCATTTTTTTTTTCAGTACCCTGATCTGGGATGGATACAAAAGGATGACGTAGTAAACCAGCTGCTAAGCTTTTGTGTTTGCTTATATTTAGCATTAACCTGTGCTTATTAACATTAGCACTCTAATTTAGATAGAATTTTTTAGTTTTGTAATGTATAAAGTAATGGTCTCTAAAGCCAACATAAATACGTACAGTGACATCTAATGCTGATTTAGGTACCTAAAGGACTTACCCATATACACAGCTCTATTGTCTTAAACACAGCCCTTTCAGCAAAGTAGCACAGCCCTCTCCTCTCTGGATCAATTGGGGAGAAAACGTATTTATACCAGTGTTGCTTATTCCCAGACCAGGTGAAAAGCAAATATTCTGTTACTACAGTATGTCCGTGTTAGCTGTTGAACCAGTGTAACAGTCCGGTGCCAAGCTGTGAAATCAAATTGTGGTTTGAGCATCAGAACCGATGGGATCAGGTTGCCTCAAGGAGGGGGGGGGGTGCGCAGGCTCTTCTCTTACTGCTTTGTTCCCAGTAACCTCAAATTCTCCTTCGTTTAAATACCTTCATCTCCTCTCATTCTCCCTATATGGTTTCAACTTCTTTTCCTATTTTCAGCTCTTCTCCTTTCTTTCTGCCTAATCAGCTGGGAGAAAGCACGTACTGTGGCTGGTGTGAGGGCTAATTATTCTGCCATTATATACTTATAGGGCCACTGACAAGTCATACAGAACAGGTAACTGCCAAGTTCATACTACAGTATTTCTCATAGTGAAAATACTAACATGAGCCTCTCTGCTCTTTCCAACTGCTAATTTTCACTGAAGTTTTGATATCATGGAGATTTCTTCCCTCATTGTCAACTTCAGATGAAAAGCCGACAGCTTCAGAAGTTGTAAGCCAGGTTGGACGTGAGGGATGGGGGAGTCAGGGGGTGGCAACCACCGCTTAATAGCACAATCATGGAGTCTCATTTCCTTGGGAAATAACATTCAAACTGACATATTTATGTTTATTTAAAAACTGTGTCCATAAACCTGCCTAAAATTAGAGACACTCTTCTTATTAGTCAGTGTTTTTTCTCTTTATTTAGTGCATTTAAATTCATATTTACTCAGCTGCAGGAGGAAGTGAGGGTTCTTTCAGAAGGACATCTGTATCTGCTCATGTGGACTTTATGCTTCCATGTATTTGAATGCTGGTCTAGCGGTATTACCAGCTAAGTGACAGGTATGCTAGAACATTGCTAAGTATTTGGTTTACTAACAAAACCAGATAAAAACTGCTATTCTGAAAAAGTTGCTAGTAACTTTTGTTATGCTGTGCCTCTGCTCCAAATATGTATATGCAAAGACGACACAGTGAGTTAGTGGTCCCAGTAATTTGTCTGATGACAAATTCATCAGAGTAAATTAATTAGTTTTCTGTACCATAAGAATCAGCCTTGTAATGGGATTTTATAAAATTAGTCACTGGTTATTGAAGAAAAGAATTGAAGAAAAGAAAAGAATTTCCTCATCTCAAACTCTTCTGCTAAAACTGCTTCTTCTGAAGCAAGCAAATGTGTGACTGGAAAAGCACATTTATTCTAAATAAGCATTGTTCTGAATATAAAGGTCAAAAAAAGTAGAGCAGCAAGGAACATATACAGGTGCAAAACTGATTTTCCATGTGGTCCTCTGTCCCAATTCTTTGATAATGCAGACGTCTGAAAATTTTATCACTATAATATCCTGAATTGGTTTTGTTTCTGCTGTTTGTCTGTCCTGTCTTTGGTAGGATATTCAGGAAACAAGAGATTTTATTGTTTATAACAAAACTCAGTCTAAAACTTATGTAGGATTTATATGCAACTTGGCTGGAACGTTACCTAACATAAAGTCACTGCAAACCCCAAGGCAGAATAGACTTGGGTACTGCAGGTTACTCATCTTGATGGAACAGTCATGGATCCCTTCAAGGTGTTTTATGTGCCACCTTCTCCAGCTTTAGTATGGTTTTGGCATCCTCTGTCTCATTTGATTAACTCTCTTAAGCTCTTACCTTCAGTGTAGGATTATATAGTTCTTAAACGTAGTTTGCAGACTATAAAACCTTAGATAGGGACACCACACTTTTTGAGAAGTATCCAAATGAATGCAGTAGCTTTGCATGAAAAACAACATTTATAAACAGAGTGGTGGGGTTGGCATAGTGTAACAGTCTCTCTTGTTCCCCGCTCTGGAGCTTCAGCCTGCCACCCTGACATGCTGCAAGAATATATTTGCAGAATATAGTGGAAAGAGCTGAAAAAGCATTGGTAAGGGTAGGGCAAATATTGAACTTCTGCTGCACAGAATCAAACTGGTTTGAACCTTGAAAGAATGATGAAAATATTTCAGAAGGGACTTCAGAAAGTCACACCAGACTTTTATCTTATTGGAAGCAGTTCTGTGAAAACTGGATCCATACTGTGACTCCACAGAGTCGATACTGGTTATTTATTTTATACAAAGAGTGTATCTTAAAGGCTGTTGATTAGCTGATAACTATTCAAAAGTATACTATTAATTTCTGTAAAATTTCGCTCTTACTACACTCACCCTTATGTACACGAACACCAACCTGATGTACCAAAAATGTGCCCAGTTCTTTTAGCTGGCAGTTTTTTCATGGTCCTGCTTTTTCAACACTTAAAAATGTGATTACAATAGCAGGCTGCCCTGCTGGTCATAATTTTTTTATTGGATGAATGTTACTTTCTTACATTATTTGTTAAATACTCATAACGTTTCCCTGGCATCAAGCAGGGATGAGAATAATCAACTCATTCAAGACTGTTTTTCAGTCTTGCTAAAATTGTTTACTGGAAATGCTGCAACCCAGTTCTGTCACTTCAGAATTTCTCGTCTGATGTGCAGACAGGTCTTTATTAAATCAACTAACTGTACCTGCTGTCACTTCTGAGTGGATACAGCTGCTCTGCATCTTCCCATTTGAACTTTAAACAGACGAGTCTCCGACAGGATCACTTCAAAATTACCTAACTGCCAACTTTAACAAACTTGTGAGATTTTTCTGTCTAATGGTTCAGAGTTGTGGCTTATGGTTTGGTTCCTTCTTCACTTTTCAAAATTTTCTTTTTTATATGTCCCAGAGAGGACCAGGGGAACAAGAATGTGGATTTAGAAACCCTGATGCTGATCTCATCTATGCACCTATAAGTCTACAGTAAATTTACATTAGCTTATGATTTTATACCACTGTGTAACTGATGTAAGAACAGATTAAACCTCAAGCGCAATGAAGAATAAGGGTAAGAGTGAACTGAGCCACGCATGTTCCAGAATCAGTTGTATAGGCAACAAGATTAGATGTAGAAAACCTGTAATCACATTTTTATCAGTGTAATATTTTTAAACTCTAATTCAAACTGGTGTACCAAAGGCTAAATCTTTATGGGAGAGGCTTCCAGGTGTCTTTGAGAAGAAGACCCAGTTGCTCTAAACCTGCAGCTGTCAGCAGCAGCCTTCACAGCATTTCATGGGCTGCTTCTCTGCTGGAAATGTCCCGGCATCTGAATGGATAGATTTAAGATTATGTGATCCTGCAGAAACCTGGTAGTTGTGTAAAAGCTATTTTACTAAGGCCTGAGAAGGAGGTTGCAATTTTAGGTTAAATTCAGATCAAAAGGCTTTGAGAGTAGGGGCTGCCTTTTATGTTACTCAGCTGAGCTGACCTTGCTTACTTTGTCTTCATTTATTTCGCATAGAACGTTCAGGTTTGTTGCTTCTGAATTATTGTTGCCTTTCATTTATATTGCCTGAAATTAATCCTATTTAGTTGTTATTGGATGACAACAAAGCTTCAAGAAGAGTTTATTTTCTTACAGAAAGAGAAACAAGAGCAACAGCTTAGAACTAGCTGATGAAACATTCTTCAGGTTATCAATAAGGACCTTGATATTTTCCATATAGGCCATAAGCTCCTCTCTGCCTGCTGCAGGAATGGATCATAATCAGGACTGGAAAATGGAGACACTTGTCTAAGCAAAGACTCATTCTGCTAAAATGGAATCTCATTGCTGTATTGAAATCTAAAAAAAAAAATACTGTAGAAGCAGAGAGGATATAAGAAACATCTGCAAACAGAATAAGACTTCACTGCATGAAAAATCATATAAGGCCACAGCAGTGTAATTTCTGACCACATCAATAGTCTTTATTGCTTTTATCACCATCAATTCTTACTAGTTAATATTATTGCCACTGTAAATATGGGAAACAGAAGAATGAAGAAGTTATGTTACTTTCCAGCAGCCATCCATGAATGCTGTGGCAGTACAGAGGTGTGCACAAGCAATTCACAAGAGCCGGGTGGACATTGCAGCCATTTCACTTTCCAGCTTCTCTCTGAGAAAAGCAGAGGGAAAAATGTGTGTCTCCAGGCCAGCAGTCTAAAGTGAGAGCAAATAGGCAATGTGCATCAGATTTTTACTTACCATTCACTAGGTACTATTTTGCAGTTGGGTTCTTTCTGCTGAGAAGAATCCTGCTTGTTGCTGGGCTTTCTGCCCTGGAATACCATTTTTATTTCATTACCAGTGGGACTCCCAGTGCCAGCAGACAAGGGATTAGTGCAAGCAGCAGGCAAGCCCCATGGCTCAGGATTTCTGAGCTCAAGGCAGGCAGCAAGAATCAGCTTGAACAGTGTTTTCGTTGACTGAACTGCATACAAGTGATGAAAGGTATATAAATTATGTTCTCCCCTGTAAGAGAGACAGATGAGTGAATTATAAGAAGCAACCACAGAGCTTGAGCAGGAATATCCATTCCTGCGTGCTTTTTTTAAGGGGAGTTGACAGCCCAGCTGGGAGGTACAAATTTAAGTAGATGTAGCTGATTTTCAAGCCCACTCTGAAAAAAAAGGCAAAAGAGCTCCTTGTTGGCCACTTTTTGAGATGTGTTTTCAGTCAATATTTCTCCTGATAAAACGTCTCATTTTTTTGCTGTTTAGCCAATGATTTCTAATATATAATTGTCATAGAGCTGAATCCTATCTATGTATAGAAGTTCAAGGGTTTTTTGAGGATTTTTTTTTCCTACATGTTTGTATTTAAACCCTGGGATTCATTCGAGTATTTACAGTTTGTGCTGAAATTTTTCAAAACCTGATGGGATTTTTATATGCAAAGTGAGATTAGAAATTATCATTAGACATTCTATTTGTAGCTCCATTTCCTTGGTCATAGCAGAAAAAAACAAGTGTGCAAACATGGAAAATAAAATTCTTCTGTGCTAGAATCTCCTTGTTCATTTTCTAACAAGTGTAATACGGGTATTAACAACTTTTTTCCTTCCTTTTTTTGCTAAACAATGCAAATAAGCAGATGCTTTATGAGGAGCAATACTTTTGCATTGGGCATTGGAGTTCAATTGTTTTTTCTCAGCAGAGTTTGGAAGGAAAGCTGTGGCCAGCTCATAACTGACTTGCTGCAATTGATTCATATCCCTTGTCCTTCAAGGGAAAGGATGGGAAGCGTAGCTATTGAAAAATATTATTGGAGCAGTACATTCAAAGGTCAGGTCAGATCTGGCATTTGGGTGATCTTTTATTTCTCCAAGCCTGTAATGACAGGCTGATTTTCCCCGAACCTTATCTTAAATCTTAGCCCTTCACTGTAAATGAATTGTTGCTGGATATTAGGCTTGAGGAGTACTGGGGGACTGACCATTCCATCAAAGGCGGCAGCAAGGTGTGTCTGGAGAATCAGTAAGCAAAAACAAACCAGTATGGTAAAAGCGTTCTTTGATAAGATTGAAAATATTAAGATTAAAATGTGAGATGTGTGGGGAGATTAAATGTACAAATGCAGGAGTAGAAATGTCGTGATTTACGAACACTTGTAGGCAGTGTGTGTGTGCATGTGTATTTAAACATGCACCCACTCACATGTTTATATAAAAATACATAAATAGAATATAAAGGAAACAGACATTCAGAAGTTTAGAAGATGGCTGAACTATGGTTGCCTATTGGGAAACTGTGGTGAAATCATGCAGTGAGGCAATGTCTTTTGACTTATGACTTTCTTCTCTTCCCCAGCTCCACAGTGCTGTGTTGCCAGAGGTCCCACCCAGTGTTTCAAAGCTTCTGAAAAATGTGTTTCCTGGGAATATGTTTAAGATTGCGAAGTTTCTTGCACTGGTGCTGTCTGCATCTCTGCTGTTCTCTGCATGCAGCGGTAACCTGAGGAGAGAATTAGTTTCATTTGACTCTATTTGGATGAACAGAGACCTATCTGGGTGTGATATATTGGGTTATAGTAGTTGCAATAGTAGACTTCATGGTAGGGCTACCTGAATGTGCTGTATTGGATTATGATAGCTGAGATATTAGACTTCTCTTTGGTGTTTAACTCTATGCAATAAATAAACATTTGTGTGCTAAGTCACATACTTGTTTGTTTTCACTGTATTTATAGGTAAGCTTTAGTTGATGCAAAGTGAACAGAAGAATGCAGTTTGTATCCCACAGTAACGCCCAGGTAGATAGTTCTGCCCATGCTGGGTTTCAGCCTTTGGGGAAATCAGGGTCACTTCTACTGGTGCCTTTCTCAGACTGCCATATAGTAGATGTGGCAGATACCTAACTTGTGTCAGTGCCTTTTCAATTGCATTTATTTTGCAAGCAGCTTGAACTGTCTCATTACTGCCAGGCAGTATGAGGGCTGAGCCACACTCTCAAATCATGAAAATACCAATCAGTAAGGGATACTTTAAGTGATCACTCATCAAATTTAAGGCTCTGTCCCACAGATCATGGTAATGACAAGCCGTGTAATAATTGTTGATGGTACACATAGGATTTCTTACTTCTTTTGAAATTCTTCACTACAAAATGCCTTTAGCAATGACTGTGAAAATCACAAGGTTCACATGTTGCTGCTTTCTGTTTGCATATCAGGCAGCCTGAAGGTTTGTGCCTCCGTGGAAGTGTGTGTGTGTGTGTGTGTGGTGGTGCCTAGATGTAATGAAAAAGAAGCTTCTTCATTCCTCCCACTTTAAAACTAATATTTTCCTTGAGATTTAAATATAGCATAAGATGACATAGGAAGAAAGATCTTTTCTCTGAAAAAGTTGTTTCATCCAACCCTTTATCTTGATGATAGACATTGATACAGTTCTGTGCCAGCTGCATTTTGCTTCATATCATTCACATAAAAACATCTTGTCCCAGTTTCTCACTTTAAGCATCTTGAATTTGTAACTGAAGGGAAAGCTTTTTTCCCCAGACTAGATCAGTAACTTCTGGGCTGATCTAACCCTGGGTACTGTATTACTAGAGAGGAGTGGATAAAAGTTACTACTGATGGTGCCTTGACCCTTATCTTCTGTATAGTTAATTCTTGTTTGGTGCATCTTGTGAAGAGCAAAGATATTCCAAAGAGACCCTGACCTTTCAGTAAATACAGTTCATACTTCAGATGAAAAACATGTTTGCTTGAACTTTTGAGTGTCACAGATTGTGAAAAGAAGGGAGCCCTTCACAGGAAGGAATAAACCTTTTTGTAGTTCACTGATTACAGCCTGCTGCACGGTATTCTTCATGGAGTGAGAGTTTCTTCTTTACTCTGTGTTGTTTATTTGTATAGAGGTAGCAGCTATGGGATTGAAATTCCATACAGTATGTGTATGTATGCAAATAGAGATGCTTTGTAACACAGAAAGCAAGAAATGACAGGTGGATGCAGCTAACACTCATGAAGGGCAGCAGTAGTAGTGGCAGGGCTATAAGAGGTCACAACAGACTGGTGCTTTACATGAAAAAGATGGGGTTTAGGAAGAGAGATCAGAGAGCTCCTTGCAAGCACTACTCAGTATTCTCACATGAACTCTTAACGTTCATGCAGCAGGGAATAATGTCCAAAGCAGTGTTTGAGTTGTTTATTGTTGTTCTGCTCCACATTCTGACACTTAGTACCAGTTGCCTCTGACTCTTTCTGGTTTTACTGTCATGAATTTTAGACATTTCAGAGTGTAGACAAGCAAAAGACAAAAGGCCATTCTCTCTTTTGTTCCTGGTGCTCTTTCACAGTTCACTTCCTCTGCGAATAGTTCAAAAGAGACACTGTGCAACAGAAGACTCAGTGCAAGACAACAAAGCCGACTGGGTTTTGTCCACTAGTTTCCTAAATGTCTCTGGGCATATAACTTAACTTCTCAGTTGTAAAATGTGAGCCTTTACCAGTGGATGAGGATTGATTAGATGACTGAAAAAATCATCTAGATAGGGCATCAAAAGATCCTGCTTTTTAAGTGTGACTTTAGAGTCACGTTTCCTATCCAGGTATTGAATTTGATTGACAATTCCTTGTGTGAAGAGCTTTAAGCCTTGTGAGTAAAAAGCACTGTATAAACATCAACTGCTGTTATTGATAATTTCAGATGTTCACATTTTGCTCCCTTTTTGTGGGCAGTAGTATGCACTTTTAAGTTTCTGGAAGATTTAGGGTAACACGATCAGTGCTAAATTCATGTGATCACTTGCTGTGCAACATTTTGGAGAAAGTACAGGCTCTTTTAAAGTTGTATCCTTTTCCTCTCCATGCAGCGTCCCATCATCTCGATCTGTTGGGGTCACAGGGATTCGCGCCTGCTGATGGCTTCCGGACCTGCATTATACGTTGTCAGAGTCGAGCACAGGGTCTCCAGTCTGCAACTGCTGTGCCAGCAGACCATCGCTAGCTGTCTGCGGGATGACAAGGATATCAGCAAACTGACCCTGCCCCCTCGGCTCTGCTCGTACCTCACCACAGCCTTTATACCAACAATCAAGGTAAAAGGAAAGAAACCGGGGGGGGGGGGGGGGCAGAGGAAAGGGTTGCTTGACTTGTCCCCCATGGTGCTCCTAAGTGACAATGGATAAATCATAAGATATTATAATTATCATACTTATAATTTTAAAAGCTTGATTAAGGGTCATTCCTGTCCTCTTCAAGAGCCCACTGATCCATTTGGTGCCTATTAAAATCTGAAAAGAAGGCTCACGTGTGCTGATCTGCATTAGTCTATGGGGGTGGCCATTTCAAGGACATCCCAAGGGTAAAATATGCTGGTGACTCACAAAGACTTCTGAAGAAGCTCATGCTGATGGTAATACTGTGTCACGGTTATAGGAGAGATTCACAGTGGTAAAACTGTTGCCTCCCTACTTGTTACATGAGTCTTTGTATCACCAGGAAAGTTGTACTTAAGATCTGTGGCTACCCAAATATTTCTACTGACAGTGAGTTTTGCTGACCTTACTGCTCCAACAGTGCTATGGAAAAATAAACCAGATATTATGCCTTTTCCTGTAGCACTAGCAGAGCCATCTGCTCAGCCCCTTTGTTTCATGGCGTTGTCCTCAGTCACATCTCAGGATTCCCAAACTCTTTATCACAGCCTATAAACCAGAGCATTAGCTGGTAAATGCCCTAGATGCAAACATGTATTTTTGTGTTACATATTTTTTGTGTATGTTACAGCATTCTCTTGAGCCGGTTTCAGGTCCTTGTTAAAACAATGCAGAGCTAGAACAAATAATTTGAAATCAATTATTTTCAGTGGAGTTGGCCCAGCTTAAAGGAGAACAAATTATGCCTATAAAATAATGATTCAGCGCAGTTCCATTTGGGTACTGCTGATCAGGGCAATTTGTGTGACTGTGAAACATTTCATTTGCCAGAGAAAAATAAATGCCTTGCTGTAACCATAACTCCTTAATCTCCAAAGATGCAGGGCATTTAACAGACCAGTGGTTCTCAGTTCTTTCTAGCATGCCTGCTTCTCCCCAGGATGCTTTCCATGTTGTCCCAGAGCCAGCTCTGCAGCTCTCTAGAGCATCAGTGATGGTTGCTTGGCTGTTAGGGGTGGGGTGGAGTGGGCTGAACGCAGCAGTTGGCTGTAGCAAGTCTGGGAGCCGTGAAGGGGATCAGAGGGGCAGAGGAAATACAGGGGCACACCGTTGCCGACAACCCTTCTGTCGCCTCCTCGGGGGGATGCCGGGGTGGGGAGCGGCCACGGGGCTGCGTAGCTGAGAGGCTGAAGCAGGGTTCCCAGAAGCCATGTGCCGCTGCTCATTCATGGGTGTTTCTGGAGCCTCTTCAACGCTGCTTTATACTTCACTCCGGCTCTCCCCCAGCCACATGCTCCCACCTCCATTGTCAGCCGTGCTTGCAGTGCCTGGCAAGGCACCCTCTTCCCTGCATACATTCCTCTTCCCCCTCCAGCTTGAGGACTGCATTAGAGATCACTCCTCAGCCCATATCCATCTCTCCAGGTTAAGGAGGCTCCTTTTTTCCTCCTACTTTTTTTTCTTGTACTTTCATTTTGAAAGAAACTGTGTTGACTTATACACATTAGTAGCATTTGTGTCATACAGGCTATATCGTCCTAGACAAAAGCAGTCCAACTGCTCTAGGACTGAGCTTTTCATGGATTAATACAGCGTGCCGGCAAGCAGGGCAAAGTAACCCACCCTGAGCTTTGTGCTCGTGTATCTTCACGCTGCATGCAAATAGGCCCTCAGCAAAGATGGGTCATGTGCTTGGAAGTGATAGAAGAAGTACAAGCTTCTTCCAGATCTCACAGCACTGTAGCACAGTGGGATAGTATGTACCAGTACTAACCAGGAGTGGGAACCTGAGCCCAAGTTCACTTGGAGGGCCAGCAGGAGACCAGATACTCTTGAGACTTATACTTGACCACATTACCCAAGTTAAAAGAGAAGTTTGTGATAGAGACGGGACTTGAAGACAGGTTTATTGTCTAATTCAGTGTCTAATCACAGGTCCAACCTTCCTTTTTGATGTAACTAGTTTTAGTTTTCTCTGTACAGCTGCTTTTGACCTAACTAAATAATACACAGCCACTCTGTTTTGCATGTGAGTCCTGCATAACTCACACAGTAACCTGTACTGATCTTGACCTGCCAAGTTAGACTTGGGTTCAGATTCAGTTGGTTGTGTTGGGATTAAGTCACAGCAGAAAAAAAACCCAAAACAGTAACCTGTAGGAAACTTTCTCTTTCCTTCCTTTAATTAAGCCTCCTATCCCAGACCCAAACAATATGAGAGATTTTGTCAGCTACCCAACAGCTGGTAATGAACGGCTTCACTGCACGATGAAGCGGACAGAAGATGACCCAGAAGTTGGTGGTCCATGTTATACTCTGTACCTGGAATACCTTGGGGGACTGGTGCCTATCCTGAAAGGACGTCGTATCAGCAAGTTACGGCCAGAGTTTGTCATCATGGATCCTAAAACAGATGGAAAAGCAGGTAGAATTTAATTGTTGCTCTCTATAAAAAATGGTTTAGAAATACTTTAGATATTACATCCTCAAGAGTTAAAGAAAATCTATATATGCAACATGGAAGGTGGCATCTGATGTTTTTTTTTCTGATGTGAAAAAAATCTGAAGCATGACCTAGGCTCAAGCCTCTGAATTTTATATCATGCTGTCTTCTGTTTTACAAAAGAGAACTTCCTGTATTTTGAATAGGGGGGCATAGCTTGCTCATTAGCAGAAAATATTCTTTAGTCTCAATTTTGAAGTTGATTGAATGCTATTCACCCCTCTGAATCATGTTCACTTGAGTTCAAAGCAGTGGAAATTTGGAGTTTATACTAGGCAGGATGAAGAACGGTTAATTTTCTCTGCATAGTTTTATCTCAACTGCTGCCTGTGGATGGGATTTATGCTTCTGATGACTGATAGTTGTAATTGATATCAGTTTTCTGAAGCAGCACTTACATTTTCTGGGGCCTGTCTTGATAGATGAAATCTATGGAAACAGCTTGATTTCCACTGTGATTGACAGCTGCAACTGCTCGGACTCCAGTGATATCGAACTGAGTGATGACTGGGCAGCAAAGAAGTCTCCCAAAATCAGTCGAGCTAGCAAATCACCCAAACTCCCCAGGTAATCATTTCTTGGTTATTTCTTCTTCTTTTTCCCCAGGTTTTCCCTTTCCCTTTCTCTTTCCCATTCTCTTTCCCTTTCTCTTTCCCTTTCTCTTTCCCTTTCCCTTTCCCTTTCCCTTTTCCTTTTCCTTTTCCTTTCTTAACACTGTCTTGACCCCTCATAAAATTAAAAGCAAACTCCTCTGGGCAGAGAAGAGTCTTTTGGAGAAGCGGGGTCCTCTACAGTGTGCAGTTCTGGGGTAATCTCAGAGATTGGTGTTGAGGTGGACTTTGGGGAAGGTTCTGGGGCAAAAGGTAATGGGAAGCAATAGGGCACCACTTCTCCCCAAGCACTCTCAAAGAAAGATTTTATAAACTCTCCAACCACTGCTTCTGCCACATGTAAACTCTTGCCACCATAGGTTATATTTTGTCCTTCAGACAATCTGTGGTTTTACCCGCTCTGTGCTTAGGGTCCCTGGTCTAGTTAAAGCCTTTGTTTCCTCAGGGATATGTTCAAATTTGTAAGTCCATACATAGATGGCATAGATCCTGGCACAGGTGGCATTGCTGCTGTGGTGACCTTGCAAGGGAGCCTCAACAAACAGATCCTTCTACACACTGGGTTGACAAGCTTCTGTAACGATATGTAAAATAAGCTTATTATTTGTCTGGTTGCTTTCCTGCGAGCTCTTTGTTATATTCATTGTGTATATAGACAGAACCCTCCACCTGCACAGAGCCTCACTGATGTCTGTGATGCTTCTCATAGGCACTGACATCTATCTGCCAGCTTCATGTTATGGGATTGAGGTCCTGATGCCTTCTAGCTGCAGCTGACACTTTTCCAAAGACCTTATATTATGAGCTTGTCCTAGTATGAGGCAAAGAAAATGCATCCCTTTATCTGTGAACATAATGTGTGAAATACCGAAGTTTTAGCTTAGTAGTACTTGACAAAAGAACCATCAGTTCCTGAGCCTAAAACTGAAATGGTGCAGGAAAAACAACTGTCCTGTGTCCTCGGTTTTCTAAGACCGAATGTTTGAAATGTAACTCTTGTTCATTATTTTTTTCTACCAGCGAGCTTTTTCAGGTGCTTGATCTCTTATTCATGACCCCCTTTATACAGTGGGAGGTAGCAATAACTTTTAGCTTAGAGTAAGAACACTGTCAAAGTTTGTGGAGCCTTGGTTTGCTGTACTAACATGGAGATCTGCCAGCTGAGGTGTCATGTTTCCATTTGTTGAGGCTTTGCTCAAAGTCTGCATAGCTGAAATAGCTCAGCCCTACACCTTTTTATGGATTAGTGGAGGATATATTGTATCTGGGAGAGCTGCTGTAAGCTTTGTTAAATGAATCAGAAAGCATGTCTGTTACTGCAAGTGCGTCAGCCCTTATATATCTTTAAATTTGACCTGTAACTCTCCATCCTGTAGACTCTACAGTCTTCATTAGTCATTTAGAGGACACCATTCCAGTTGTCTTCATTACATCTTTACGTTCAAAGGCATGAATGTTGTACATTTTTGCATGCTCGTTGATGATTCTAATTATTGCTTTATATGCAGAATCAATATAGAAGCTCGCAAATCTCCAAAGATGTCACGATCTGCACAGGAGATATCAAGATCACCAAGGTTACCAATAAGGAAACCTTCTATTGGTTCACCAAGCCTAACCCGAAGAGAGTTTCCTTTAGAAGATATTACTCAGGTATTGTGAACATTGTTACCAGACCTGAGTCCAAATGCATCTCCTTCCAGATGCAGCAGGTTGTGATATAGATCCAATGATCACCAATAAAAAATTTTCATTTAATTACAGTAACTAGATGGAACAACTAGAGAATTGCATGTTCCAATTCAGTGTTAATGTTCAAAAATGTCAATGGAATATCAGGTGTTGTTTGATAAATCCTGGCACCACTAACTTGTGTCAGTGTGAATCCATGCGAGAGGTTTTATTCTAGGTGATGTTGTTGGCTCTTTGAAAGTGTATGTGAAAATGCTTCATCAGTTTCTTAGAGCTGTCTTAATGCCACCATAGTTCTCTGCTTTGCTAGGGATTGCAGAGATAAGGAACTGTTTGCTTCAGAGGGCCACATGTTCTCTGTTTCATAATTAACATGGAACAGCCTTAATTGGAAGGAAGGCAAGGAATTAGCACTTTGTGCTCTTTGTGGCATTCATGTCCTGTGGATAAATGAAACTTAGCAGGCTGTAGAACTGGCTGGGTTACGTATTTATTACTACCAGCCTGCACTCGTTTTGTTTTGTTTTGTTTCGTTTCAGCTGTTTTCTTCTGTTCTGTCGATTCACTTTTTTCTTTATATTGAAACATTCTAAATCAGTTACACAGCAGTGGTAGATAGGACCAAAAGTCCTTTGAATAGGGCAGGAGACCGGAGGCTTAGATCCTGCTCCTGATGCTGACAGCATAACTCTTGGCCTTTGAGAAAATCTCTTGGTCTTTCAGACCCATAATTCGATCACCATGGAAGCAGTGGTTTGGGAAGCTGTTTTGGAAGCTCCAGGAAAAATATGTTTGCCATTAATGAGTAATTGATTTCTGTCTTATTTATTTTTCTATAAAGTGATTCATAAGCATAGAACCAAAAGGCATGGTGTATTACTTTCTGAAATACAGAATAGCCGTGCTTTTGGTGTGCAGGAGAAGGAAGTATCTGAAAACAGACCTATTCTCACTAAGCAGCCGTCATGTCGTTCAGTTCTTCAACAGCTTTAATCAGCCTCTGTGGCTGCTGTATACATCATTTCTGATGGTGTTCAGATATCAAAAAGAGGCATCTTAATGACTGGGTAAAACAGTTGCTACATAGGCACATTAGGCTGTTTCAATAAAATAAGAGAAGCTGAAATTGTATTATCATTTGCAATAGCTTGATTGCTTTGCAGTTTTTTATTAGAGCTTGATACAGATTTTATTAGGTGAAAATGATCTTGTTTTTGCTTTGCAGCACAACTACCTAGCTCAGGTCACATCTAATATCTGGGGAACCAAATTTAAAATTGTGGGTTTGGCTGCTTTCCTACCAACTAACCTTGGTGCAGGTAAAAGTAAACTCTATTGATTTTTTGCATGTCACACTCTTTCTAACAAACAACAAACTTATGCCATGTGATTCTTTTTAAGTGATCAAAAGGCTTCTTTAACAAAGCACTTATTTTCTGTGGACAGTAGGAATTAGATTTCACAAAATTCACTGTAACTAAAAGAGATGAAAATCTATAAATACAATAACAAGATGATCAATAAAATGTTAAAAGTCTCAGTTGTAATAAAAAGATTAATTAACAGTAAAGCCCAGACCTTTATTTTTACAGTTTATTTGAACAAAACCCAAACAAATGAAGAAAATTTTTGCAAGGCTATAAAAATTATAGGGTTTAAGTTACTGTAATAGAAATATTTTTAAAAGTCAGATTTTTATAGTAATTTAGCTACTAATTATACCAAAGTAACGTTAAAAAAGCTCTTATAGCATCATGCTCAAGATTCTTCAAGTCAGTGCATAGCCTTATCATATGATTCTCTTGCTGGAGCATCAGTAAATTGGTAGCCTTCATTAAAAGTAGCAGTTGTCTAATCTCGTGACCTTCTTCTGTGTACGCCATTTCTCCCTGGATAGTCTTCTTGGAAGGAAGAAGGCTAAGTAAAGAACAGGTTACCACCTAGCAGAACTGTGCTCTGAATTGAAATAGTAACACAAGTATAGGAGTTTTACGAGCTCTTTGGAAAACTTAATTATTTCCTGTGTTGCATTATATATCATTAGATCAGGACTACATAACGATGCCCTGGATGCAGAATTGGTTAAATAGGTATCTTTTGTGGCTATATTGACTACTATCAGACAAGAGATGGAGTCCCAGCTACCAGGGAGAGGACTTTCTCTGGCCCAGCCTCCAGGCAAAAGTTGTCCTCCCAGGATGTTGTCACCCTGGGGACAACTGGTGTTACTACTACAGGGCAGTGGCCTTCTATTTAATAAAGTGTTATGGAAACCCTTGGGTTTGTTCCAGCCACTTTTTTTTCAAGTAATTTACAATTTTCTGACATCTGCGTTTGCAGTGATTGTCAAAAGATAGTGTAAGAATGACCCTAGCGGGTCAGACCAGGGGTCATTCTCATTCCGTCATTGTCAGTGATGGATAGGTAGGGAGGATATGAGCATAGAGTAAGTGTATAGTGATAATTCCTTCAAATGTTCTACCAGTCTCCAATGGTTTGGGTCCCAGGGACTTCCTGAGCCAGGAGGGGTTTCTTTGTATGTAGTAACCCTCAACAGATTTCCTTCCTGAGAGCTTTCCAGTTTTCCCCTAAACTCACATAAGTCTGTAGCAACCTGTGGTGAAGAGCTCCAAAAGTAGAATGGAAAAATTATTTTCCTTGTGTAAAAATAGGTGTGAATACAAGATTAAGTAATTCATTATTTCTGCAGATTATTTAACTACAGAGATGCTGCTTCTATTTAAAGAGAAATAGCTGAAAGTAACAATCTCTTTTATCCTCTTTATGCAAAGTGTTGCATAGTGATTTGGCTAAGAATGGCCCATACATGCATTTGTTCATTAATACATTAAATAAAAATAGTCATAGCCCTTCTGTCTGCTTTAAATTGATTCTTTCTTAGCTGTAGATGCTCTTTGTGTAACAGATTTAATTTTTTTATTTCTTGTTATACTTTTTCTCCAGTAATATATAAAACCAGTTTGCTGCATCTGCAGCCCAGGCAGATGACAATATATCTCCCAGAAGTGCGGAAGATTTCAATGGACTACATTAACCTGCCTGTCTTTAATCCAAATGTTTTCAGTGAAGATGAAGATGATTTACCAGGTAAGGAAGAGCTGGAGGTCTACCGTGTTACGAGTTAAGCTAGATGGAGGACAGATCACTTGTGTCACTAGCCCCCTCTGGTAAACACACAAATCAAAATCCCTTAGTCTGATGGGGTCCTATAGAACGGAATTAGAATAAGGCTAATATGTATCACGGACATTGTTTTCTAAAATATGTGGAAAATATAATCTGTATACAGCTGCTAAGTTTCCAGTTCATTGGAAAATTAATCATCTTCTATTTAGTTCACTAAGAATTCTCTGTAGACTGATGCCTTGCATTCTGCATCTTCGTAGGACAGATTTGTAACGTGTTGGAAGCCCAAAAGGGTCATTCTTGTGACCTGATGGCAGCAAAGCACAGCCTGCTGATAGGAGCTTGGGTTGGAGGGCAGGTTCCCATAAAGCTTAGCCACCCTGAGAAGTGATAAATGCCCATTGGGGTTTTTATCAATACCAAGTGTTACAGAGAGGCTAAAATAGTAAAGTAGTCTATAAACAAAGGCGATCGGGAAGAATTTCTCATTTCATTGAGATGTAAGGTAGAACATTCAAGCAGTGCAGGGAAGGCTTGGATGCAGGTGATGTGAATGTAAAAGGCAGGTAAAAGGACTGGAAGTACTCAGGACCTCCTCCAATCAAAAAAAAAAAAAAAAGAAAATCATCTTGCCAATAAAATTAACAAATAATAGACAAGAAGATAAATTAATACATTTTCAAAATTTTCACATCAGTGAGGGATTCCTATTGCGAGGTCAAAGGTTTCTGGAACTACAGGAGTGGCCGTCATGCCAATACTCGTTAAGGAGGAAGGAGTGTGAGCACTGCAAAGGAATTAAAGGCTTGTGCTAGAGTCTGTTGAAATAAATGGAAATAATCCCATTATTTCAGACCAAGGTTTTGACTGCTGAAAGCACCAAAGCTTGTGTCTGACCCAAGCATCAGAGTAGTCCTCTGGACTTCTAAGGAAATACTTGTGTGCTTAAAATGAAGCCCATTCTTTCACAATTTGGGGCTTGGCTTGCCTAATTTATGTCTACATGATATTCATCTGTAGGATCTGAAGAAAATAATAGAGACATTGATGATCGTATATATATTATGCATAGGAAGCACTCAACATTTTCTGTTATGAAACGTGGTCCAAGCTGACAGAAAGTAATACAAAAATTAAATAGAAAAAAAAAGTTAATATAAAGTCCTTGCATTCTTTCTTGAAAATTGGATTAGATCTGCAATATCAATTCCTTTTAGAATTAGATTTGCAATATCAATCTCCTTTAAAAGAGCTGAATCGCAGGTTGGTGAACAGTACATAAATGTAGGGAAAATTGTTAGAGAGTTTTGTTACAGCTCTTTGAGAAGGCTAGTAAAAGAATCATACTACCCTGTCTTCCATAACAGCCTTCCTCTTCTTGTCCACTTTTTTCTTTGTAGTTTCTTCTGAAAATTCATTTCTGCCTTAGCAAATGGAGGCTACTTAAATCTTAAAAAAACATTTTTGGGGATATCCTTTTTTAAAGCCTGCATTTAAAGGAAAAAAGTGCCATGTACTAATGGGAAAAAATATTGCAGTGTAAATAATGATTACATGATAGATTAAAAAAAAATAGTAGAAAGCTGCTCTTGGGCAGTGGAGTGTTAATAGTGAGGTACTCCTGGGACAGGTGTTTTTTAAAGTAGTCAGTAAAGATTTGGCAAGGCAAATGGGCAGTGAATTGATTTAACTTGCAAATTATGCAAACAAATCAATTAAAAACCATTGGAGAACTGAAAAAAACATTGGATCTAAGCACTTTGGGATATTAAGCAACACTGAGAAGAATGAGATTTTCTTCGATAAGGCACTCAGTACCAATGACAGCAACATTCTGAGTTTCTCAAGCCAAGCTAACAATTAAACCTCAAGCTTTGGCAGATAAATTACGAACCTGCAGGGTTCAGCGTGAAAGCACGGCCTGCCAGCCAGCCACAGAACCACACTGCCTTAGGGTCAGTTAAGTTTAGCTGTCAGTCTTCTAAAGGAACGAACAGAACTACCATAAAAATTTGCCAGCATAGCCACAGACCTGTCTGTATACCTACCATATTCATGACTGGTGCTGATAAAAGCCTAATGCTATCAAAAATGTAATTATAGGGCATAGGTAGATGACTAGAATTTTAATTAGAAATTAATTAGGAACTGGGCAGTGGCTGGAGGAGTCCTGACTAATGGATCTCTTGCCTGATCTGGTCTTGCAAATCAGAGGTCTCCACAGAATCTGGCACGCTTAAATGATTCTGGATATGACTCCAGGATCCTGGATATTACACTAGTCTCTTTTCCTCCTATAAAGCTGCTGATGCAACTCTCTTGTTATTTTCTGTGAGTTTTGTACAGGAAAACTAATAAAGAATCTGCAAGATTCTTGGGGGTTTTAATACAGTATTTATTGTTCCCCCTCATTATTATATTTTGTTCCTTCTTATCTTGACTTCTGCACCTGTATGTACTTGGTTCCAGTGTCCTCGTTTCCCTGCCACGCTCCAGCTTTTTCAGTGGTAGTTCCTGTTGGAATCACTCTCACTGCTTTTTGCAAAAGGAATTGCAAGCAATTGAGCAAGCTCCATGCTTCTGCTTAAAATAATCAGAATTGCTTCTTGCCTTACTGTCACTTGTTCACCACCACCACCACATGTGGGAAACTTTTCCTATATACATTTGCTTCTTCTCACATTTCTGATTGCAGCCTGTCCAAACATTGATGCTGAAGTTGCCCTGACTACAGTACCCACTTCTTGAATCTTTTTGGCTTCCCATCTATTTCCTCACATATTTTCCATACAAATCTTCTTTCAAGAACTTTTATAAGTTTTGTCTGTATTTCATTCCATCATATTCCTCTCTTCATATTTCATCTTCCTTCTTCTTGCGTTACTGATTACTTTGTCACCCACGATACTCAAGAGATAATAATACTTCCTTTTTCCCAACTGTTGTCTGTATTCTCCAGCTTTCCTAAGGTCATTGACTCTGGGGACATTATACTAGATACTACACAGTGCCTTCAGTGCACGTCTTTGACTTTCTTTTTATTTTCCTCCACTTCTTTTTTCTTTTCTTGATGACAACAAACATCCTAGTCAAAACTCATAACTGCTGTCAGATCAGGGCAGGCTTGAGGAGCATCGTTTCATCTTCCTCCTGAAGCTGGGTCTAGCATGGCACAGTGATACCTGACTGGCTCTAGAGGGAGTCAGCCTGGGCCAGCAGGGACTTTTTTGTGCCTCACCATCAGGTGGCAGCAGCTCTAGAGGAAGCCAGGAAGCCATGTTAGTGGCCCTAGATCTAGGGACAAAGAAGAGGTGGCAGCAGCCACAGGTCTGTGAGTGGATTTTCCTTTCTGTTATTTGTTGATGTATTTATTATCAAAAAACCTCCCTGAAAACTATTGAGTCCTGATTCAGCAAAACTTTTATTGATTTGAGTAGCAGTGGTTAAAATTGGCTGATAAGCGAATGGTAATTCAGACCCATCAGGTAAACTCCTTGCTCTGTGAAAGTCCATGGCAATCATAGTGTAGACTGAAAGTGAGTTCTGAACTTTACCTCTGAAGCATCACTCCCAAGAAGTTACTTTCAAGTTGACTACCAGCTGTTACAATGGGAATCAGTGGAGACAGGCTAGCTTACTTTTTTAAAC